ACCCTGAGTGCCGCCTGACGCTGCACTCGTGCGAGCCTCAACCTATACGCCTCCTTGTTAAGCGCGTCTGCCCACACCTCAGAGCCATAGAGAAGCACGGACTGGACTGCAGACATCAGTAGTCTTCTACGGCTGGACCGGGGACCACCGACATTGGCCATAAGCCTACTAAGAGCAGCAACACTCCTAGCAGCCTTGTCCGCCGTACGGAAGATCTGGTCCCTCCAGCTCAGCTTGTTGTCCACCATGACACCAAGGTACTTGGCGGTTCGCGTGGTTTGGACAACTACGTTCCCAACTCGTAGCGGAACGATGGTTTCAATCCGTTTTTTCGTGAGGATGACGATCTCTGTCTTGCTCAGAGCGAGTGTCAGACCATGATCAGTCATCCAGGCGTTTACAACGCGCATGACTTGGTTCAGTTTCAGTTGGGCTAGCTCAACGTTGCGTGCAGCAATGAGGGCTGCGACGTCATCGGCGTACCCAACTAAAACGGTCTCCTCTGGCATCTCAGATCTCAGAAGGCTGTCGTAGGCAGCGTTCCACAAATCTGGGCCGAGTATCGAACCTTGCGCGGCACCGGAAGTAACATCCATCGTCCGCGAACCATCTTTAGTTTCGTAATTAAGAGTTCTGCAGCGCAGGTAGTCCTCGATCAGCCTCAACAGATATGCTGGTACGCGGAAGCTGTTCCTCAACGCGCTCAACATATCGACCCATCTCGCCGAGTTAAAAGCATTCTTGACATCTAGCGTAACAAGAAGCACGATACGGCGAGAGTAATGATTGAAGCTCTCGGCACGCTCTACCGCTCTGTGTACCTCGGATATCGCGTCGATTGTTGACCGACCCTTTCTGAAGCCGTACTGACGAGGAGACAAATCTCCGGCAGCTTCCACAGCAGACGTCAGGCGGCAGCGGATCAGTTTCTCGAAGAGTTTTCCGGCCACATCCAATATACAGAGGGGTCTGTAAGACGACGGCATATTCGGGTCACCTTTCCCCTTGCTGATTAGCACAAGCCTAGCCCTTTTCCAAGGAGTTGGGAAAACCCCTTCGCACAGGCATGTGTTGTACATTCTCAGCAGTAAGAGGGGGTTAACTGAGAATACCTTCTTGAGAGCCTCACTGGGAATACCATCAGGACCAGGTGCTTTTCTATTTCTCAGGGAGAGGACACATGATTCCAGCTCTTTAATGCTAAAGAGTGGAATGTCCCCTACCTCGCCATAGTCGAAAAAAGGCCGCCGAGGATGAGACGGAAAGAGGGCGGTGACGATCCTGTCCATGGTGGTGCCCTCCATGACGGAAGGTGGTGATCGGGCGCCGAGTTTCTGGGTTACAACCTTGTAGCCCAGTCCCCAAGGATCAGAGTCAACATCCTCCTGAAGCCTCCTCCAACAGCTAACCTTGCTCCTGATGATAGCCCGACGAAGAGCTTTCTTCGCAGCCCTATAAGCCGCTGACTTAGCCTCGAAATCCGGGAATCTTCTGGCCCTCATAGCGGCACGTCTGGCTTTCAGACAAGCTTTCCGAAGGTTCAAGATCTCTAAAGTCCACCAGTACACAGCTTGCTTATCGCGACGGCGTCCCCTGCGTGGCATGGCCTGGTCACAAGCCGAGACAATCAGTTCCATCGTGGACGTTACCAATGCCTCGGCGTCAACAGGTGCAGCAGAATTCACCAGCGCTCCCCGTGAGATTACGTCAGTGAACTTCTCAACATCCAGCTTGTCCGTATTCCATCGGCGTGGTCCAGATCGTGATACAGGCGCCTGATTATGGTGTTCATCCAGTATATCAAAAACGATGTACTGATGATCACTTGCCGTGAGGTCTTCGATGACTCTCCAGTTGGAGATCCGTGCTAGTAGTGATTCCGACGAGAAGGAGATATCGGGGATCGTACCTCTCATGCCGGGGCGCCGGAAAGTAGGCGTGTCGCCCTCGTTTAAGACGACAAGTCCGGCCCTGGCGGCAAAGTCCAAGATGTATTTCCCCCGGGAGTTTGTAGAGGTCATACCCCACTCCACAGCCCTCGCATTAAAATCACCAGCAACAACGACATGCCCAACGGTACCCCGTACACTGTCTTCTAAGCGGTCAATCTTCAGACGGAATTCCCGAATTGGCTCGTTGGGGGTAAGGTAGACACTAAAAAACGTGACGTCCCTACACCTGACCCGAACGAAGCCTCGGCCGCGTCCGTGATCTCGCACTGGTGCTTCCGTGCTGTTTCGAACCCAACAAGCGGCAGTACCAAGAGAATCTGGGAACCAGAAGTGTGGGTCCCTGTCACGGTACTGCTCGCTGATCAGAAGGGTGTCCGCACCGATCTCTTGGGCCAGCTGATCTAAGAGGGAGTCAGCCGTTCTGGACCTCTCAAGGTTACCATGGAGAATCCTCACTTCCTAGACCTAGCCTTCTCAAGGTCGAGTGCAGCCTTGAAAACACTGCATCGCCCAGCCCCTGGAATGTGACCTAATGAGGCGTCCTTTTGGCCTTTCTCTGCGCAGAGAAAACAACGCTCTGCTGCGGTACAGTTCTTCCTGTTGTGGCCCGAGCCGCCACACCTGAAACAATTCTTGGATAGGTCGGGTCCTTTACAGTTTCGGGAAGAGTGACCAAACCCGAGGCAGCAAAAGCATCGCGGTACAACCACCCTCCGTCTGAGCCTGCAATTGACCCATCCAATTCTCAGGTGTGTGAGATTAAGCAGCTTGCTGGCATCTTGGTTTCGCATTTCAGCGATAGCTATGCGTTGCTCGCTGCGGTTGGGCCGCGTAAGCCATACTTTAAGGGAGTCGGCATTTTGGATATCAGGGATGGCCTTGTTGATAGCCTCCCTGACTTCAGCCTCAGTCGAAAGACCGTCAAGGTCCCGGATCTCCACCGAGGTCCTAGGCTCGAGTTCCCGAACAGTACCGTGGTCCCCCAGAGCCTCTCTGACCTTTGCAGCAAAAGCCACTCGGTCACCAGATTTCCCCAGCTCGAGGAGAACTTTCCCATTCTGGGTACACCTGATTGACTTAACAATCGTATCCGTCTCCTCTGGCTTGGCCTTAGACTTGAGTCGACCCAAGACTTCAGCAAAAGAGCGCCCCCCTAAGGGGTTGATCAGGATTGCCTCAGCCCTGGGCTTTCTCGGCCTGGGTTTCTTTGAAACAGGGGGGGCCTTTCCACGAACCTCCCTCGCCGGAGCAGGGTCAGCAATCTTTCGATCTCTTGCTGCAGGTTCTTTGTTAGAGACAGCCTCCATTCGTCTCAATTTCCTCTTTTCTTTGCGGGAAAACCTCTTCTCCCAGTTACCCACATTTGATGGTGCCACAGCAGAGTTCATAGAGCTGCTTCCGTCAACCGTTGGGAGAGAGGCAAGCTCCCTGGTTTGCTGAGGGCGCTTCTTTAGAGCTGGAGTGTGCTCAGTAGGGGGTGTCATCTGGGTGGCCCTGTCCTCGACCTTCTGCTCGACATCTGACAGAGGCTGATTGGCCAATTCAGGAAGATCGGGGCTCTCCGCTGGTGAGCTCCTTGCCCGTTTCCTTTGATTCCCGCCCTTGTCGTTCAGTTTAGGGGCTAAAACTTGGTTCACAAGCTCCCGTTCATTAACTAAAGCCTGTCTCATCAAGCCTTTAATTTCGAGAACTCGGGCAACCCGATCCTTCACCTTTGGGAGACCGTCCTTGATTGACCGGTTTACGTTGGTCCGGAGCTTCAAGGTTCCCTCCATATTATTGATGAGGTCCATCATCTCTACCAGGAGGTCAGACTCCTCCTCATCAGCATCGTCGTATTGTTGACGGTAACGCTGAAGTTCGGGATCCGACCTCTGGGGGCTGATTTTCGGCGCTGTACTTTCCAGGAGGGTTCCCGTCAACGCCGGTTCAACGTCTACTTTTCCTTCTCCACTTGTCAAAGGAGATCTTAGTGGGAGGAACTCATTTGAGCCCTTAAAGGTTGCAGGCGGTGGAGTTGCCTTAACGTTGTTCGCTGGTGGCGACCTCTTGACCTTGGAGCTACGCCCAAAAGGGCTCCACTCCTTTTCCGACTTCGATTTTTGCTCATTTGAGCTGCTGTTAAATAATGTGTTGGGTGGGGGGTTTTGACAAGCCATACATGTGTTTACCAGCGCATCGTGCGGCAAGAGACGGCCCGGATTTAGTCAGGAGCGGGTATACCCTCGGGGACAATCCCCTACCCCAGTTCCCCGGGGCCCGACCTCCGTTTGCCCAGCACCGGATACCTGACGTGCCGGGGGTCGCCTGTTGCAATGCAGAGCCCGACCTCTGCATCCATGCCGCACTTCCTGACCAAGGACCGAAGTGGCTGGCTCCTCACGACACACTGGGAATACCCATCGGCAGTGCAGAGCACACATCAACCCCTGCAACACAACAGGGGCACTCCCAGGGACTCCCAGTGAGGACGTCAGTCACCCTTTTAGTCGCCTCTTACGACAAGCCCGGGAGGGCTGCGATCCTATTCTAACCCCGAAACCGCAGGGGGGATAATTTATTTATTGGAGGATTACTGTATAAATATTCACACTTTATCTTGCCAAAGGGCCCCCCTTAAATCTGCCCCTGGGTGGCGCAATTAATTACATCAACTACAACGATTTAATTAAAAAACTGGCGACAACTTTAACATGAGGCTGGAATGTCTAATGTCGGGACCACATAAGTTTGCAGTTGGTGGCAGCCAATCACAAGACAAGGCTAGTGCGACGTTGCCACATCGCCAATGACAACACTAATTAAAATATACAAAGCATTTTTCAAATCAGCTGGTATTATTCGATTTGGCAACACCGCACCGTTCTCATTGGTCCATTCAAAACCATATGGTAAATAGGCTCCTCCCTCAAATGCAAACATATGTGGTCCCGTCTTAAGTTGTGTATAGTCAAAGGCTCTAGTTTATAGTCTATGTTTTGACATTCTGGGAATATCTGATAACCTCACCCTGTATAAAAAGTTAAAGTAGGTAAGCCTAAAACTTACCATTTCTAATTTGGCTGTGAGTTCTTCAATTTGAATATTTAATTTATCAATTTCAGCCTTCTGCTGTTTCCGAGATTCTCCCCCTATTCGTAAAATGTTGATTTCTTTATTCTTTTGGTCTAGTTCAAGTCTTATATCTCTTATCTCACTTTTTAAAGAAATAACTTCATGCCCTTTGGTTGCTTGTTCTCCCTGTAATGTAAAAACAGACAAAATTAGATAAAGATTAATGCAATTAAGAAGTGAATAGATATTATTTCTGACCAACATGAACTAATAGTTATAAGACCATCAAGATCAGGCCCAAAAGGTTAGTATGACACGCTATGGGGCCCAGAAGTAGTTGCCCCTCCCCAACCACATTGTTAAGAATCAAAAATGAAAATAGGCATTTTATGATTTGTATGCTCATCCGCAATATAACAATGTTAAGGCTCGTTATATTGTGTTTAATTTTGTTTGTTAATTTAAGTGTTAAGTAAAGTAAACGGAAACCGTAAATTAAATACAATAAGCTTAACTATTACTTACATAAACATTTTCATTTCCAAAGGTACATTTTTAAAAGTAAAATGGGTTTAGATATAACATATTATGGGTCGTGAAGATTAAATAAAAATGAATCTAAAGTGACGGTGAGTGAATTCGGTGAGTCTGTGGCTGAGTCGGTAGCGTCATGGACTTCTGGCCCAAGGCAGCGATGTTGTTGGTTCGGATCCTACTGCCACAAACATTTTATCAGTACAGTTCACCTTCGTACTGTACCGGCTCACCCCTTGCTTTGCTAGATACGTTCCACGCACGGGCAGTTAGTCTATGTGAACGGGCAAATGCACGGGTCATACTAGGCTGGCATCAGCGGTGATTTGGAAGAAGGCGCTGTTGTCAGGTTAATGTGACCACAAAATTCGCAGCTGACACACCCTGTTTGGTGATGCTGGTGCCAGCTGCTGATCACCAGCGGCTGGCGAGCAGCCTAGTGTGACCCGTGCTATAATAGCTAATTTGAAGTAAGTAGCATCAAAAAGCTGTGATAGACAATGAGAACTAAATAACTTCTTGATCAGCATTGTACGTGTTATTAAATTTACGGAAAGTAAATAAAAGAAACGTCTTATAACACTTAAAACATATATTTACGCTTATACTGTTACTCACAAGACGGTAAATATACAAAAAAAATGGTAAGTGGTGATCGATTTCGATTGGACACTCCAATCATCATCAGACCCAATAGGCGAATGACAAGAATCTTGAATGGCGTCCCTACTTATACCCTATTGGCTACCGGAAGCACCGGCCAATACATTTTTATAAGTACAACTGGAATCAAAATGTATTTGTTCATTAATTAACTTATTTCTATCATTACATTTTTCCTTATAAATATACAATTCTTCCCAAGCATTCATTACATATCCTTTCTTACAATTCTTTAAAATATCTAGACTATCCTCCATTTTTCCTAGTGAGTGCCCATTTTGTAACAGGTGTTGTGCGACATTTGATCTTTCCGGTTTGTTGTTCCTCCACGCAGATATGTGGTTTTTGAAGCCGTTAACGAAGTTCACAGTCTGTCCAATGTAGAAGCTATCACAATCGTTACAATTGATTTTATAGATGCCGAAGTGTCGAATTTGTTACAATCTTCTATTTTTAGATGAAGTATTTTACTCATGGTGTTCTGAGTCCTGTAGGCTATTGAAACTCCGTATTTCTTGAATCTGTTAGCAGTCCTTTGTGTTGTAGTCCCCGTGTAGCTAAATGTGATATATCTGGTGTTTTCCTCTTTTATCTCTTCTAATGTTGTTCTGCTGTGTAGTGTATTCTGTCTATCGATTTTCCTCCTCGTCTTCCTTGCGATGTCCTCTATCGTCTTGGTTCGAAATCCATTCACTTGAGCGATCTTCTTAATGGTGTCCAGTTCTTTTTTCCTATTGGCTTGGCTAAGTGGGATCTTATAGGCTCGGTACAGCATAGATCTAAAGGCTGCGGTCTTGTGGATAGTCGGAGGGATAGACTTGCTGTTGATTGTAGTGTCCGTTTGCGTAGGTTTACTGTAGATGTCAAACTCTATCTTGCTGTATTTTCTCTCTAATGTGAGGTCCAGGAAGTTGATCTCTTTGTTTTCTTCAAACTCGTTGGTAAAGGTGAGGTTCGGGTGGTGGCTGTTTAGTGTCTGCATCATCGTTTCGTGCTCTTGCTCCTGGCCTTGTCTGAAGATAACAAGAATGTTGTCTACATATCTAACATACAGTTTTACATCATGATTCGTTCTTAAATTCTTTAACATTTCTTGTTAAAGCGGTCTTGTGGATTGTCGGATGGATAGACTTGTTGTTGATGTTGATTGTAGTGTCCGTTTGCGTAGGTTTCCTGTAGACACTACAATCAACAACAAGTCTATCCATCCAAAATCCACAAGACCGCAGCCTTTAGATCTATGCTGTACCGAGCCTATAAGATCCCACTTAGCCAAGCCAATAGGAAAAAAGAACTGGACACCATTAAGAAGATCGCTCAAGTGAATGGATTTCGAACCAAGACGATAGAGGACATCGCAAGGAAGACGAGGAGGAAAATCGATAGACAGAATACACTTCACAGCAGAACAACATTAGAAGAGATAAAAGAGGAAAACACCAGATATATCACATTTAGCTACACGGGGACTACAACACAAAGGACTGCTAACAGATTCAAGAAATACGGAGTTTCAATAGCCTACAGGACTCAGAACACCATGAGTAAAATACTGCATCCAAAAATAGAAGATTGTAACAAATTCGACACTTCGGGCATCTATAAAATCAATTGTAACGATTGTGATAGCTTCTACATTGGACAGACTGTGAACTTCGTTAACCGCTTCAAAAACCACATATCTGCGTGGAGGAACAACAAACCGGAAAGATCAAATGTCGCACAACACCTGTTACAAAATGGGCACTCACTAGGAAAAATGGAGGATAGTCTAGATATTTTAAAGAATTGTAAGAAAGGATATGTAATGAATGCTTGGGAAGAATCTATATATTAATTTGAAACTGTTTTTCTTTGTCATAGCTAAATTGAGAGAACGGCTGGGCGTAGAAACTCGGTAGAGGTGTCTAAAGAAAGGTCTTGGTCTGTAGACGAGCCATCAAAAGAGAAACGTGGTAAATTCCCTTGGGGCTTTGCCCCAGTGGCCTTTGAATTCCCATCCCATGTTATTCTTATGGAGGAAAAACGGGGTTTTGTCCCAGCTAATTTGAGAGAACGGCTGGGCGTAGAAACTTGGTAGGGGTCTCTAAAGAAAGGTCTTGGTCTATAGATGAGCCATCCAAAGAGGAACGAGGTAAATTCCCTTGGGGCTCTGCCCCAGAAGCCTTTAAAGTTGCCTCTTCAGATTTGTTTATATTACGACCATATGCATACATTTACACTACTTTTGAAAGAAACAGCTGTTAATATTTTAATTGTGATTTACTATTTTTGTCAAAATGAAGTATTAGCAATGGTTTTTTTTTCTGATTTTAAAATCAATTTTCTTCTGAATCGTGCCATGTTTTGCAATATAATGTTCTATTACCAAATCAGTGGAAAATCTTATATCACAGTAACTCTTAAAATTATTTCTTATGGAGTTAACTTATATCTATTGTATGGGTTGATTTCTGCCTTTTTTACCACTTCTTGGAGATTGCACGTAGACGATATTCTTTGGAGTGTTGCATCTGTAGTAGACGAGACTTGATTGGTGTAATTCTTAAAATTAAAATGGAAAAAAGTGAGAAATACTGGACAATTTTATATACTAAAAATAAAACTGAATTAACACTGTGCTACATTTCTTGAGCAATAAAAAAAGAAAGAGCCGATTTGCAAACAATGGAAACAGGAAAGTCATAAAACACAACCAAGTACAGTAGAAGAAATATAAATAATGCTTTTTTTAAAATTTGTAATCGTTATTATAGACAACTTAATGCGGCTATGAGTGGGGAAAATTTGTAAAAAACACTAAAAACATGGTCAGCTTTTGAAAAAAGATAAGATATTTACAAAAAATGTTGATTATATCTAACTGCTGTGTATATCTTGAGTATTTCCATAATCTTTCAGTCAACTCTTATAAAGTCATCGGAAATTATGACTGTTATTCGTTTTAAAATAACGCCTGTAATGCTTCGCAATTGCTCGAATTCGAGCAACAGGTACACTAGTTGTATATTTATAAGGAAAAATGTAATGATAGAAATAAGTTAATTAATGAACAAATACATTTTGATTCCAGTTGTACTTATAAAAATGTATTGGCCGGTGCTTCCGGTAGCCAATAGGGTATAAGTAGGGACGCCATTCAAGATTCTTGTCATTCGCCTATTGGGTCTGATGATGATTGGAGTGTCCAATCGAAATCGATCACCACTTACCATCTTTTTTGTATATTTACCATCTTGTGAGTAACAGTATAAGCGTAAATATATGTTTTAAGTGTTATAAGACGTTTCTTTTATTTACTTTCCGGCAATGAGAACTGTCAAAGTAGGATTGTTTATAGTAATGTTTATGTTTTCAATTTAATACATAACGAGCCGTTGGCCCGTCCTGCGTACGGGAATTGAGTAATCAACTAAAACAGAAGTTATGTCAATATTTCAATTTCTAGCCCAAGCAAAGTTTAAGCGGTTAAACATTTATAGTAAACAAAAAGCTACCAAGATGAATTAAAACATCTAAACATTGTTATTTTCCTATTCTTTCCTCAAAAAGTCTAGGGCTCAACATAAATTTACTTTTGTACTTCTGTGTGTGTGTTTCTAGTTAATTAAGAAGGGAAAAGTGATTGCCTCAAAGGGGGTGATTGCCTCCTGAACATTTACTAACTTCCTTTAAAAGTTAGGTACTTTCAAAGGAGCACATGTTACTAAAATGAAATACAGTCTATATCCATGATAAACTATATATTTCAACCACCTTCTATGCAGGCACTTCCATGAGCTCTTTAATACTTTGCAAGATGGTTTAAAAAATAATCAAAAAGGAAGACTACTCCCCAAAAAAGGGATTTAGGGATTTTCATTTAATTTTTTCCCCAGTTACTGACTGTTTCCGCCAGAAATGTTGATGTCACAGTAAAATAATCACATGGCATATAAGTAATTAATTCATGACAAATTAGTAATTAATTTAAAATTTCTGTGAGAACAAAGATTGCTGCAAAATAAAAGTAAAACAAGTTTTGTAGTCCCATTCCAAAGGTTCTAGTGTATTTTAAGCTCTTAAATGTACAAAATATGTTGAATATTATGGATACCTGAATTTCTTTTAGCTGAGATTTGAGCAGAGCCAACTCTCCAGATTTCTGACACAATCCCCATTCTGTCTCCTCCAGCCGACTCCGCAGCAGATCCACCTCTTGCCTCAACTCACTGTTCTCTCTCTCAGAGCGGTCCAAGTCTTCTCTCAGTCTTTTCTTATCTTGCTGGAGCTATCAAATATATATTGTAGGTAAAATAACTGTTCAGTGGAATTTTGATTCAGGATAAAATGTCTAATTAACAGAAAGATAATTGGGGCTGAGAAGCTGATGGATATACAGGCAGCTGAGTGGATAAGTAGCTATAGTTCGAATCTTAAGGAAAAGCAAAAAAGTGTTAAATGGTTTGAAACTGACCCCAGCTGTTCATTGGGCTTTTGAAAAATTATTGTGGCTGATATTAGTTAGTGACGAAGCTGTCACCCATGCAGGGGCGCCAAGAGGGCGGGGCAAGCGGGGCAACCGCCCTGGCCTTTGGAAGTTAAAAAATTTAACAACTTTATCGGCAAACTGCAAACAAATATTTTCCAGGAAACTCGTATACATCACATGTAATCAATGACAATGACTATTCAGAAAAAAGACAATCTATAGCTTTCGTTTTATTCATAAAATAAAAACCGTTATTTAATATACAACTCAAACTATTACTACTTTTACGTCTGGCATGTGACTTATTGGAAATACTGCGAGTCTGAGACACACACACTGCGTTTACGCCCACACTCCCCATCTACACTTGCTTGTTTCTAACCTCAAACTCTTACGTCAACTCATAGTCGTTTCTTGATGTCCGTTGTGAGTCGTTAATTCAATGATTTTAGTAATTTAGTTCAGTGTAGTTGTTACGTTTATAAAAAATACTTGCAAACCTTTCGATATTGTTATATTGGACATTGGGTCTATCGAGGCAAACCCCCCAAATACCTTTTTTGGGGAGGGGGTGAAAATTTAAATCTCGCCCTGGGCGTCTATTACCCTTGGGGCGGCCCTGCACCCATGGTTCACTCACTCATCTTCACCTAAAACTAAGCTAATCAGATTTAATTATCTGTCCCGATTCCCATGTTTTACCCTCCTGTACTAAAACCAATTCATATTTGGCTCTAAATTAGGCAATGGTATACAATTTTTATTGTACCACGACTTACAGTCAATACGCTTAGCTATTACTGTATAGTTTTGCCTTAACATTTACATCAAAATTCTTAGGCTTAAGTTGGCTATCTACGCAAAATTGACTATCTACCTTCTATTTAGCATAAGTTGAACTGATAATAAGCCAAAAGGTTTAGTGTTAGGCACATAAATAATAACCTCAAGTAGTATAACAAGAGATTTATTAAGATATACATTTTAATACAACATGGGTTACAAAATTCATCTCTCGAGCTCTGTGTCAAAAGTGGCTTCATAGGCTTTAGATACCAAGAGTAACAAATCTTATTACAAGAAATATACTTATGATATAGTAAAATACTTATAATATCAAACACACTGGTGGGTTGGTGTTTTTAATCCAATACAATCTTATTTTCCGGGGGTGGCTGAATAGTCAGATTTTAAGAAGTAGACCATAATAATACATCCTAGCTGCTTTGCTTTTGCTAGGTACTTATTTCACTGCTACAATTGACAAAGGAGCATTAATTATCGGAATCTGACAACAACCGAGAAACACATTTAGGACATCGTTCATGTTGATTCAAATGTCATACAAACTATGATGTCAGTTTATGACCAGCATTAGAACTTTGTATTTCCTTGTTTCACTCCTCTGTTAGTCCCTAAGGGTAGATTTCCAAGCTAAAGATCTCAGCAGCCAAACATGGCTCTGAGATTGTGATTGTCAAAGTGAGTCGTTTAGGCACTGAGTTTTCCTTGCTGTATTTGGCTGCTAGGGAAACCCCTGCTGTTTTGACTCTTCTGTCGTCAGTTAGTGCCAAAAAAGCAGCCATTGGCAGCTAGGAAAACCATTTTTACAATTGACTATTAGATAAACAAACTGTAAATACCTGATATGTCTGCATCATGAGCATCTGCTCCAGTTTGTGTGACTTCTGGGCCGCAGCTCTCAGTCTGTTCTCGTGCAAGGTTTTAGTTCGCCGCATTTCCCTTTCCCAAGCTCGTTCTTTCTCTTGGTACACTCGGAAGATTACCTGCTTAAAAAGCCTGTTTTACCAACTCTATGAAGATAAAGAAAAATTCTTCCATGTGTGGTTAATTGTACTTTTTGATGCTTATTTAACCTTTTCTCTAAGAGCTGAATCACCCCTGTGTGTCGCAGGTCACGCGACAGTCAATAGTGAATATCTCAAGCAAGATGAGTCAAAGTTAAATAACTAATTGTCAGTCTAAATAGCCGTATATTGTAAACTAGCAGAGTACCCGTCCTTCGTACGGGGTTGGCATATAAATTGCTTATTGCAGTTATACTCAAGCTTTGCGTTTGCAATGGGGGAGGACAAAGTTTGATAAAATTTGCTTCTTTAAATTGAATGTATACTATGGTATTACACATCTACCATAGCCATAATGTTCTAGCTCCCCATGTAGCACAGATGGTTGGGCCAACGTTGGTAAATTGTGGAGCCACACAGTTGGCCAACGGTAGAAATGTCACCTCTTTAAACTGTTTTCCAGCCAACCATTGTCCAACAATGGCCCAACCATCCAAAAATACTGATGGCCAACTAACCATAACACAACTGATATCCAACGAACCGTTTTATTTCACACAAAATAATAAATATTTAGTACGAAAAGCATAATTATTAGTTGAGTAAATTGATTAAATAGTTCATAAAAACACATTTTGAAAAAAAGCTAGAACAAAATTTTTTTTCCCAGACGGGTCTCGAACCCGGGTCCCTTCGACTTATGAGCCTCTTACCTTACCACTGAGCCATCTATGATTGTTGATATAGAGAGTTTTCAAGTGGTGAAAGAGTAGCCGACAGTTGCAATAGTCGCAATACTTCAAACATTTTTGATACTACACAGTATAATATGATTCTGTTAATCTGTTAAGGCATCATAAGTAGTTATTATTTTTTTTTTTAGTTAGAGAGGATACTGGTATTTGAATATAGATTAATTAATTACCGTTAGATTATTCCCAGACAGTACACTTTATCCCAGGGACATCCCATAGTAGTCCCATATGTCCTGAGAATGTCTCGGGATATGTACGCTATCCTCAGGATATCCCGCAAAATCCCGGGACGAGTACGAAATCCACAGGATATCCTACAATATACCGTAATGTCCCGGGATTTGTAAGTTAACCTCAGGATATCCTGTAAAGTCCCGGGATATGTACGAATGCCATAGGATATCCCAGAATGTCCTATGACATCCCGGGACATGTACAAAATCCACTGGATATCCTGTAATGTCCCGTAATGTCCCGGTAACAAACTAAAGAAAAAAAATACTACCACTGATGAAATGTATATCTAAATTTAAATGTTCAACAAGGCCAATATATAATAATTTGTTTTTTTCACTAGCGCTTTCAGAAACTAGGTTTCCATCTTCAGGCTGTGATTACACTAGTACAAAAAGTAAATATTTACTTAATAAATTAATTTTAAACAAAGTTAAAACAGATGATTTAAAAGATATTGGAAAAATAAAAATAATATTAGAAAAATTATTAATCTTTTGAATTTTGGATACCTATATTACAGTGTTGTTCTTGATGTAATTATTTTCAGTAATTCCGAATTTATAATTGGGCCGTCTTCATTATTTAAAAAATAATTTTGGTCTGTTTATTTTTCTAAAAATAAGATTCCCACGCATTAAGATGTTGAGGTTATATAATTTGTTTTAAAAGTTTAAGGTTTCCCGGGTTGAAAATATGTCTTGTTAATACTGTGGCTAGCAAGGGCTGACTTAACTTTACTGACATATTACTACCACTGAGTTCAGGAAAACTAGAGTTCTATCATAGTTGTGTGAAATGTGAATTTAATTCTAACTTTAAATTAATAAAACAATCAAAAACTAATTTTAATCATATAACAATCAATTATAACAGTGCTAATCTAATGGTGATTAAATAATCTATATTCAACTACCAGTATCCTCTCCAACTACCAGAAAAACAATTCAACACTACTTGAGGCCTAAACAGATTAACAGAATCATATTATATACTGTAGTATCAAAAATGTTAAGTATTGCGACCATTGCAACTGTCGGCTACTCTTTCACAACTTGAAAACACCCATAATCATCAAGCGCAGATAGCTCAGGAGGTAAGGTAAGAGGCTCATAAGGCGAAGGTACCAGGTTCGAGACCCGACTGGGCCAAAAACTTTTTTCTCGTTTTTTTCTTCAAAATTTGTGTTTATTAACTATTTAATCAATTTACTAAACTTATAGCTAAGCTTTTCATACTAAATCTATATTACCGGTATTTTGTGTTTTTTATGTTCAGGCCCAGACCACACTTTATCCCAGGGACATCCCATAGTAGTCCCATATGTCCTGAGAATGTCCTGAGGATTACCCTGGGATGACCTCGGATGTCCCACGGATATGCTTTGAGCTTATCCGTAGGACATCCCCGGGCGGGGACATTACGCATTCCTGTGGATATCCTGGGATATCCCAGGTTGACCATAGGACCACTATGGGATATCTTGCATATCCTGTCGCAATATCCGTGGGATGTACTGAGGAGAAAGTGTGCTGTCTGGGTTAATGCTATTATAATTGACTGTTATATGATTAATTACTCTTTCCCCTTAAATTGTTGCAAATAAGTTAAAGAATATTAATTTAAAAAATATTTGCATTATTATAATTATTAAAATTCATTGTTGTAGCCCCGGAACTGTAATATATAAAATATCTGGTTTTACAATACCTTTATCAGTTCCAAAAACTTTTGGAAACTTTTGGAACTGATAAAGGTATTGTAAAACCAGATATTTTATTATAATTATGTTGTGAAAGCTAGACCCAGAGAATGAAAGTCGTGTAAACTCAACTATGGACCATCGTTGGTCCAACAAAAGTATCTTTTGTTGGTCCAACGGAGTGAAAAACGGTTGGACAACGGTTGGCTTGATGTATGATACCCAGCAATTCATATTAATGTATTTCATTAACAATGAACCAATGTTGGTCCACAGTTGTAAATATTGGTTGGCCCAACTACGAGATATACAGTTGGACAACGGTTGGTTGGTTGTGGAAGCTCCAACCAACCATCGACCAACTGTCCCACAGTTGGCCAACGTTGGCCCAACCATCTGTGCTACATGGGGATCTTCACCTAATAATAAAGAAAAATAAAGTACTGCAAATTAAAAAAATCACAAATTATTCATGACATTAAATACATAAACATAACTGTAAACAATCCTACTTTGACAGTTCTCATTGCTTATCACAGTTGTTTGTTGCTGCTTAGTTCAAATTACCTGTTTATTTAAAGCAAAAAAAAAATATAGTGCTGCACCCTGTTGGTAAATCTTATAACTTTTTAATGCTCTTGTATATCAAAGAACCAACTTTTTTAGTTGAAACAGCTGACTAAATTCTTTAATTCCCTTTAAATATGAATACTCATAAGGTTAACATGGGGAACTACAGAGCCACTGGGGCGGAGCCCGAAGGGGTTTTTGAGATAAGAATATGCCTATATGTTAATCGGTAATGTGAGCTATCATCATGCCAAATTTCAACCCACAGTTACACTAGTAATACTGGGTAGGAATGAGCATTGATAGTCAATGTTTTTGAAACATCGATGTTTTTCTATCGATGTTCGATGTTTTTCACATCCATGGTAGGTTACCAAGGCCGTATTTCTATAACGGCAGACACGGCAGTTGCCGGGGGCCTCACTTGGGGCCTCATTTTTTTCTTGATAAATTTATTTCACCGATAGGCCTAATCTGTTTTGTTATGGTCGCGGGAGTCATTGATGAAATCTGTGCAACCGCAAAAGATCTTCCCCATTTCACCATTAATGTAGGAGTTGTCACTGTTCATCCGCGATCGCGGAAATTAAAATGTCTGGCCCTGACCTATAAGACCCCTAATATTAACATTTAAAAAATTAATAGAGACTTATTTATTACCTCATCTCCTAGATCTTTATGTTGATCGGATTGTTGGAAACAAAAGGTCAATTCATCGAGTTGAAGCCATAGGCTACCACGTGTATTTCTAAACCCCATTAGTTCCAACCTCCGAAGAACCACAATATAGAGGGGCCCCTCTGGTGAGAGACCCCGGGGCCCTCATAGATTCTAAATACGGCCCTGTAGGTTACCGATGTTTTTGTTACATCAATGTTTTTGTCAAACATCGATGTTTATGGCCAAGTATTGAGATATCGATATTTTCCTTTACTGGAAGGTACAAAAAGCACCAAAAAATGAAAAAAACATTGCTGATGTTTCAATCCTGAAATCATCGATATTTTCGCAAGATGTTATTGGTACATCGATGGTGGACCTATCAATGCTCATCCCAATCAGGTATCCGAAAAAGAACGATGATAAGTAAACTGGCATAAAGACTTTATTATTCTTCAATCTGCAATTTAAAATCTTTAAACGGCTGCAATTTTTTACTCAGTCGTTCCATTGAGCTCAAATTTGCGAAATAATTCTACTAATAAATACCTTTAATTTGATGTTCATATCATATCTACCTATGATTTTCTCCCCTCTTCACTGAGGAGGTAGCGTGTATAATAGCGATTGGGAATGAATCTTTGAACAGCTGTCATTTTCTACTCGAATGTCCATTTGAGGTCCGGTTCGCAGCATTGTTTTTAGTTTAACAATACCTTTAATTTGATGTACATATCAACCTATGCCTACCATTAAGATTTTCAACTTACTCCCTATGGGCCGTCCTCCATAGATCACCATGTACACAAAAAAGCAGCTTACTATTACTAGTAAAATGAAATGCCAAATTTAGTTGTGATATCTCTTTTTGTTTTAAAGTTATAAAGTCGTCCTAAGACTTAATTATCACCCTGTATATAAATTTGATTGGATGGAGTTTTTGGCCTCTGGGGAGATTAAAGAACAAAGGAAACAAAATGTAAATCGATCCCCGATTCAGATATTACTATGAGACCGATGGTAAATAGCTTATTCCCTATGTATGGGCAATTTGCTAAAAGCACTACCTACACAGTTGTTGATGTGGCTCTTATATCAATGAAGATCAGCAAAATATTGTAAAACTGACCAAGCAGTGTTCTAAAAAGACTCACATCTGCCACAAGTTTGATTTTACGTTGAGGCTTCAAAACTCAACTTTTTTTATTTCAGCAAGAAAATTCAGCTTTGATTTTCCTATCTACCCTGCCACATCCCTGGGTATTATTGACCTGTGATTGAAGTAACTAGTTTACTAGTGTGTACAGTTGATGTAGTTTATTAACCTGTTCGTTGTGTTCCATGGTCTGACGCAGATAAGCCACCTCTGAGTCCCTTTCTCTCAGTACTGCCTCTAACTCTGCCATCACACCAGACTCTACCGGTGAAGGAGTTCCTGATCCTTCTGATGCCAGCATTCTATACAACACCGTTAATTACTTATTTTATATTATTATTTTTATTTTGAGAATATCCATATATAAGTTAAAAAACAAAAACAGAAAAAGTGGTTTAAATGTACTTTTGGATTATTTATATATATTTTTAAAAGTTGAGTTATTTTGTGAAAATGTTATGTACAGGGAGAAAAGTAAGTTGAGTTCTGTAATTCAATGAGTTCTTTAATGTTAACATATATATTTTCAAATGTAAATAAAAGTGTGCATTTTCTCTTGTGACTATAAAAAGTGTGTTCATTTTTTTCCTCTCTCATATTCTTTAATTTCAATATTTCCATTTCTCAACATTATAGCCCTCTGGCAAGGCTGCACTAGATATACTCCTTTTTGAACTATCTATCATTACCCTTTCTCATTATATCCCCTTTTATCATACATTAACTTTATTTTCTTTATCTAATATTTTCCTTTACTCTACAACTCATCCATTTGTACTACAAGCCCAGATAATTACATGTACATACGCCTGCTCTGAAATCATTCAACTGGTTAAAATTTAGTGTTTTATAAAAAAACTTGTTTTATACACCTTTGTCAGTTGGTAGTTATTTTACATGTCAAGCAATGGTTCTCTGTTTAAATCCAAATATACAAAAGCGAAAAAAATAAGTTTTTTCCTGTTTTAAGGTGTACCATATTTTGATATATATAAAAAATTATTAAAAAAATTAAAATTATGTACTGGCTAATAGTCAGCCGGGGTCGCCGGGAATCCCGATTTCGGGTTTAAACAAACGCGGTGGCCGTCGAGGCTGCTCGATCGCTTTTGCTGGTAGACCCCCGACGAAGACGGACGTGCGACAAATGCAGCCCTCATTTGGAGGTAATACTTAGCTTTAGTTATTTGTTTTAAATACTTTAAACAACTTTTCTACATTCTTGACAAAATCTTAAAGCTGATTTATTCTTTATTGTTGAATTAATTAATAAAAAAAAGTATACAAAATGGGTATTTCATTTCTAGGGTTCACGTTCTGGGCAAGTTTTCCCCTCTCCATAACAGATTTCTTTTGTAGTGATTCTTTTGTGCTCTATTAGGTTTAATTGTTTTATTCAATAGTTTGTGTTAAAAATAAAGCAGTCTTAATAATGTGTATTAATAATTTTCCTGAACTAATCACAGTAGTTACAAAATTAAATAATGTATGTAGGCTAATGATTTAAAATAAAAGGTAAATGTAAAATTTGGTACATACATATTATGCGCCACTCTGCTACTACTGTGATAAAGTTCTTTGGAAACATTGTTTTGTTTTACGTGAAATAAAAATGGCTAGTATTAAAGTTGATCTCTTAACAAAAGAAGAATTACTGTACGAATTAAAAGTAAGAAATATTGTTTGTGAAGGAAGTACAACGGTAAACACTTTACGAAAGAAACTCAGGCAATGTATTAGGGAAAATATTCCCGCTTTAGCTGAAAATCTAGTGGAAAAAATTAGTTTTAATTCAGAACTAGAAATATTAGAGTTAAAAATAGGACAGTGTCAAGAATCTGTAGCTGATCTGACTGAAACAAGCAGGCCAATCGATGTATGTAGAAATGAAAATAAAATAGAACATTCTCGCAATAGGTTAAATATAATTCTTAAATTTAAATTAGATGAATCTCAGAGAAATACGTGTAAAGAACTAATGGATAAGATTAGGGCTATGTCAGAATTCTTAATCAAATTAAATATTGATGTTAGTGTAAAAGAAAATGCTGTTCGTAGGATTAGTGAATCTAATATAGAGGAAGAAGAATTGCTGGATGATGTATTTACGAGAGATGAGTCACGTGTGGCTGTTAGCATAAGCGAGAATTTGAATTCTGTAGATGTACCACCAAGTAACTTAAACTCTGTAAATGTACCTCCAAGTAACTTAAATATTCCACCTACTGATACTAAGGTTTTCCGCAAATTACCAAATCCACTGGAAGCATATTTTAAGGATTTCAAATCAACTGATGGCTTACACTGTGGTGATTTCATTGAATTTCTAAAACTAATGTATAAAATAAAAGAGGAAACAGAAATGTCTGATCGGGCAATAGTTGAGATGTTTGTGTACAGAACGTCAGGAGCATTACATAACAAGTTAATTGAAAATAGGAACAAAGCTATCGCTGATTTACATTCAGAATTAATGAGATGTTTTATGCCATTAAGTTTAAGGGATAGCTTGATTAGAAAGTTTGTAAATCGTCCTCAATTTGATGATGAGGCTCTGCCAAACTATGTAAATAGTGTTAAGATTCATGCAAAGATTTTTCAATGTAATTACAGTGAAAGGGAAATTGTTGAGTTCATAAAAATGGGAATAAATAAAAGAGATAGGGCCAATTTGGTTTTCAGCAGTAACCCACGCACATTTAAGGATTTAGACGAGCTGTGTATTATGTCTCAGAATGTAAACTACAATAATTTTGTTAGAGATTATAAGAAAAAAGAGGTAAATCGCAAGGGCTTCCAGGTAAATAATGTTAGTAAAGTTATAACGTGTTACAATTGTAATCGACCAGGACATATAGCTAGGAATTGTTATAGGAAAACAAAAAACGAATAAAGTGGGGAGAGTTTAATGTAGGGAGTGTAAATAAGAACAGTCCAAGATCAAACTTTCCCCGTTATCTGTCTCCCCGTTATTGTGATAGTTCGACAATGAATGAAACACCGATCACGAGAAAAGAACGTATTAAGTTTAAAAGGCAACAATATCGTATTGTAAAGAAACTAGAATGTTTTGATATTAATAAAATTTTAAAATGTACATATGACAGTGGGGAATTGCCAAAGTTATTTGTTAAATTTGATAATTACTTATGTGAAAATGCTCTGTTAGATTCTGGTTGTAATATTAATTTACTAAGTAAAAATATGTTTCTAATGTTACAAAGGAGAAAGTTAGCTAAGCGAGTAGTGAATCAGGAAATTTCTTGTAGGGCGGCAAATAGCTCAGAGATAAGAGTCACTGAAACATGCGTAGTTAAAGTCAAGGTCAACCGTTTCGCTTGGAACGTAAAGTTTCATGTATCACCGAACATACACTTTAAAATGATTTTAGGTAGTGGCTTTATTAGAGAGACCCAATTAATTATGAATTTAAGTCAAAATCAGTGTTACTTTGCCTTTTTACCAAATATTAAGATTTCTCTCAACAAAGTTAATGCCAATCTAGTGTATTCTTGTGATGTTAATAATTCCTTGAACATAGGAGTAGATGAAGTTAGGCCGCAAATTTTGAATATAATGCAAAGGTATTCTGATGTATTTACAGACAAGATAGGAAGGGCATTAGATTTTGAATATAAGATTAATTTAAAAGATAGTGAGATTGTTAATCAAAAGCCTTATCCATTATCTCCTCCCAGGTGTGCAGAAATAGACCCAAGTCGCACTGAAGCTATTAGAAAATTTAATGTAGCCTACCTAAGAATGTTAAGGAGCTTAGCAGTTTTATAGGTATGGTTAGCTACTTTTCAAAATACATCAAGAATTGTGCAGAACTAGCAGCACCTTTAAATGAATTACGAAAGAAGCGTTGTAAATTCGAATGGACAGACGAATGTAACAGTAACTTTTATAAGTTGAAAGACTCGATAATCAATCCACCTGTATTAGCGATAGCTGATTTCAAGAAACCTTTTATTTTGATGACAGATGCGAGTGAGGTAGCTTTAGGTTCAACTCTTTTACAAAAAAATGAATTTGGAGATAATCTACCTGTTGCATACTATTCTAAAAAGTTTACTGATAGCGAAAGATGTTTAGGAATATATGAAAAGGAGGCTTTGTCTGTTGTGGCAAGTATAAAAAAGTTTTACAGTTATTTAGAGGTGCAACCATTTTATCTCATAACCGACAATCATGCCTTGTCATGGGTTCTTACCCACTTCAGAAAACTAGGTAAAATAGCCAGATGGGTGGAGTGTATTTTAAGTTTGCCATTTTATGTAATGCACGTAAAGTCAAAGGAAAATCCGGTAGCTGATTGTTTGTCACGTATGTTTCCCAACGAGGATAAACCTATACAAGTTGTAATTAGAGGAAGAGTTTAATGTAACACCTGTTAAATGGAAAAGTTGTAAAAAGTTCAAATCAGTTAGCAGTAAAGTTAGCCCGGAAGCTAATGCTATTACAGAATTTCCCTTGGCTTACGTAGGAATCTCGAGTCAACAAAAATCTGATCCTGAATGCTTAGAAATAATTAATAGTGTGAAGAATAAAACGTGTAAGGAGAACTTTTTCATTAAAATAGATGTTTTAATGTACAAAAACAATGACAAGAGTAAACCTAAAATCTATGTACCAAAATCTTTAATTGATATGCTATATAATTATTATCATGTTAGTAATTTTGGTGTCCATTTAGGTCAGTCAAAAACAGTGGCCAAGGTTATGGAGTATTTTTATAGAGAAAAGTTGCCAGAGGAAATACGCAGTAGAGTTAAGAATTGTGAAATATGTAAATTATCTAAACCACCACAGAGAAGATATGAAGGGGAGCTTATCTCTGGAATTTCCAGTGCACCGATGGACAAGCTATACGTGGACCTTGTAGGGCCTCTTACCCGATCTAAATTGGGAAATAATCAGATTTTGGTTGTTGTTGATGATATGACAAAATATGTGTGGTTGTTACCATTAAAGGATGCTAAAACTAAGGGGATTGTAACTAACCTAGAGGAAGTTGTGTTCAAAAACTTTGGTAGCTGTAAGCAATTAGTTACTGATAATGCTAAATATTTTGTAAGTGTAGAGTTTAAAAACTTTATGTTTAAACATTGTATAGAACATTATACCATAATACCGTATAGACCTAGTGCCAATAAGTGTGAAAGATACATTCGAAATGTAAAAAGTCAAATTAGGGCATTTTATCATAACTGTCAAAATATATGGGATCGAGATTTGTATTTTATGCAACAGAGTTTAAATACAGCTAGAAATGACAGTACAAAATTTTCTGCATTTGAACTGATGTTCAAAAGGAAATCTAACCATGGTTTGAGCAATTTGTGGAATGTAAATGAGTTATTAAATCCTAAGTTAACAGAGTTAGAAATTAAGTCTATGATGAACAGAGCTATTACAAATTGTAAATTATCTGCAAAGAGAAATAGGAAAAGGTTAAGATACAATGCTGATAAAAGTAAACACCCATTTCATCTAGGGGACATAGTATATTTAGAAACCCATCGCCTGAGCAAAAAAGCGGAAAAATACCAGGCTAAAATGGATTTAAAATATTCAGGTCCTTATAAGATTATTTACTTTCTAAGTCCAGTATCTGTAATAATACAGAGCACAAAAGATTCATGCGACATAAAAAGAGCCCATATAGTCAATTTGAAGAAACAATGATGAATAATTAATTTGTTTAGATTGCACAAGTTCATGATTTAGTTTGTATAATGTAATTTTGAGTAAAACCACGCAATGTGTATGATATTATGCTGCACATGTGGATAAGTTTTAAGAAGATTAAGTTTTAATAATTTTGGAGAGGAGAGATTGAATGTAATGTAAATATTTTATGATTTAAAATGATTTTTTTGAGTGCCAGGGTGATTCTGTTGGTTACCAAGTCCACGCGTGGCGACTACAAAGCTTGACATGAATGACTTTTTTGGGTATGTGTGAGTGCGTGAATGTGATACGAAAGGCAGCGTGAATGATGACTTTACTTTTGACTTACAGTAATACTTTACTACGACCGCACTACTGACTAAACCATATGGAGAATCCTGGTAACTCGAGAAAAATAAATAGTATCTCAATAATTGTTTACTGCCTTAACACACATATTGTGCAATCTCAACCGTAAGATTTCATAAAAAAAAGGGTTAGGATATTTTCCCAAGAAGAGCCCCAGTCCTCGGTTGAAGCTGATGCCTAGCGCCTGCAGTCGACAACGCGGCAACAAGGCGACATCAGGGCTGCGAGTCGACGCTGCGCTGCGCTGCGGCTAAGAAGATAAGACTTCGGTGTGATTGGTTAATTTGTTGTTAATTGAACTAATTATTGTTATTTTAATTGTTAATCAAATTAATGTGGGTGTAAATTAAGTTTAATGTTAATAATTTTAAGTTTTAATAATTTTGGAGAGGAGAAAATGTACCATATTTTGATATATATATAAAAAATTATTAAAAAAATTAAAATTATGTACTGGCTAATAGTCAGCCGGGGTCGCCGGGAATCCCGATTTCGGGTTTAAACAAACGCGGTGGCCGTCGAGGCTGCTCGATCGCTTTTGCTGGTAGACCCCCGACGAAGACGGACGTGCGACAAATGCAGCCCTCATTTGGAGGTAATACTTAGCTTTAGTTATTTGTTTTAAATACTTTAAACAACTTTTCTACATTCTTGACAAAATCTTAAAGCTGATTTATTCTTTATTGTTGAATTAATTAATAAAAAAAAGTATACAAAATGGGCATTTCATTTCTAGGGTTCACGTTCTGGGCAAGTTTTCCCCTCTCCATAACAGATTTCTTTTGTAGTGATTCTTTTGTGCTCTATTAGGTTTAATTGTTTTATTCAATAGTTTGTGTTAAAAATAAAGCAGTCTTAATAATGTGTATTAATAATTTTCCTGAACTAATCACAGTAGTTACAAAATTAAATAATGTATGTAATGATTTAAAATAAAAGGTAAATGTAAAATTTGGTACAAAGGACATATTTGTATAGTTACTAAACTGAAATGTTATTAATTCAAAAACTGTATTCTTTTGTATGCACTGATTATATTAATAAAACTCTGGTTCCATTTAATAACTTCTGTTACTGGATCACATGACCACAACAAAAATATATTAGTTTGTCTAGACAGTTTATTGTCCACTTACCTTGAAAGGTGTTCACTGCGGGTCCCAGATGGTTTGTGAACACTTTCCAAGCTGTCGTAGCCGACCAAACAACGAGGTTTGTTGTTGTGAGTGACAGACTCAAGACTATCGTAGCCTAGCAGCCGGCCACGTCCACTTGGTAAAGGTAGGGAAGATAGAGCCAATGGAGATGGAGAGATGGCTTTGCGATCCAACGAGAAGTTTGAATTGGAAGTGCGGTTGTGAAGCAAGTCATTGCTGCCTACAAGTCAAGTCAAAATGCATAAAACAATTTGTTTAGCTTTTTTTAATGAACATTCTATTGTGGAGTACATTTTTAATAGTCCAATCAAGAAAAAAAAATTGTTAACCCAATCTAGTTAGTTATATTGGTTCTATTTCATAATATCTATTTGTCATAATGTGTAAGACTATCATCTACTAATGAAATGATGTTCAAAACCAATATTTGTTTAAATTGTCATCAAATAAATTAAGAAGTCTCATAAGTTCAAGTGGATTAACTGAACCACACATTAACCACATATATACCCAACATGTATGTACATGTATGTTTTATATCCTACATTAATTCAACATAATTACTTGAATTAAAAAATGTGCGCAAGGAAATGAGGTAGTGGATTTATGTTCAAAGCAAATACCCCAGCAAACCTGCATACTACGCAAATTTCCATTTGCTGATTGGATTTACCCTAAGATATCTCCTTAAAAGTATTATATTTATTCCCTATTTAAATAGCATTAGTTTAACAAGTTCGGCAACACTTCCAACTATATTTGTTAAAAGTTTTTCTAGTGATTATGACATAGCTAGAACATAAGTTCACACCTTTCAAAACAGAATATGAACAAAACATACAGTAGTCCAGTAAAGGTAAAACACAGTTTTTCATAAGAGTCCAGTTACTCATAGATTTCTATTGTGCTACGTGACACAGCAGAGTGATTTTAGGGCAAATATAACTTAACTGATGGATGAGTGTAGACTGAATGATATTTTCTACTGCATGACAATTTTTTATCCATGATCCCAACAGAATTCCAACCCCTGTTTACTTTTTACATCAGCCTTTGATGTCATATTATGAATAACGAGTTAAATCACCAAGGCGAGTTTGGTATAGAATAGAAGTAACATTTTGTGATTTTTAGATCTCACAAGTTCAAGTCATTAACATTTTCAAATGTTCCAATTTTACTTAAATACAGCAAATTAGCGAGATACTGACTTCCATAGAGAGTGAGATGGCTTCCAGGACGTGCAAGGATGGGAGTGGATCCATATCGCTCTCCGTGGTTGGTGAACCGAGCTGATGACACTGGCTTGAACGCCACTGGTCGAATGACTATCTTTCCCTGAAAAACACATTATCATTTACAGTTAGTTTGCTTAATGTGGATGTGGAACAGACATCATGTATGTACATACAAAAGGCCTTAATAATGTTGTAAATTAACAAACAGAAATACAAATTTTAGTTTTACTACAACAAGGAGCAGACAACCTGTTCAGATCTGAAAAGTTTACAATTTTAACAGTAAACGCAATGCTATTTACCTGTTCAATCCGTTTCTGTAAGTACTTAATTAATTTCCTAGTCATTGCGTCTGTACTAGACAACACTCAGCCAGAAACACCTCTTTGTACAGCAAGCTGTGTCAAGTATTGGAAGGCTTCACAACACACCACTAACCCTGTTTGCCTTAACAGAATTACTGAGATTAATATAACTTTTCGCCCAACAATATTCAACCTTATTACTAATACTAAATAATAAAAAAAACTAATTTTGTTACTTAATAAATGCTAAATATATTTTGCTTTCCTACTTGGCTATGTTGACACACTGTTGTAGTTACTGTGGCTTTTAATTGCCATTTATTTACTTTACTGACTATACAAACCGGAGTATTTTAAGAAAAGTTATGAATTAAATACAAATATTAAATGTTTTAGTGTACGAGTCAGTAATACCTTGCTCTAAAAGCACTTATACATTAACTAGCTGTACCCGCGGGCCTTGCCCCGTTTAACTTCACAAGTGAGCTCTTTCTCATGGCTCAATCACGTCCTGGTTGAAGTTTGTTCGCTACGCTCACTCACCTTTAGGTTGGAGCTCGTTCGCTCCGCTCACTTGCCTTCAGGTTAGCTCGTTCGCTACGCTAACTCGCTTCCAGGTTGAAGTTTGTTCGCTACGCTCACTCACCTTTTGGTTGCAAAAGTGCTGCACCCTGTTATTGGTAATCCTTGTAACTTTAATGCTATTGAACTTCATAGAACAGAACCAACTTGTTTAATTGAAACAGCTGTTCAGAAATTCCTTTTAAATATGAAAAATCATAAGGTTAACATGAAAGACTCCAGAGCCACTAGGGCGGAGCCCGAAAGCCCGATCAGAATAAAAACTACTTAGTTTTCCTATTTAATGCCCAAAGAATCGGTGTACCGAATTTCAGCCTCCTAGGTAAATGGGAAGTGGGAGAATTAGTGATGAGTGAGTGAGTCAGTGAGGGCTTTGCATTTTATATATTTAGATTACGAAAATCAGACATTTAAAATACCGGTATGGATCATAAACATAAACAAATGACGTTGTTGGCCCGAATCCTATACTAATAGCATTAAACATATGTTTTGGCAGTCCCATTAAAGCAATGTTAAATAATGTTTATTTTCGGGCCAAAAACGTCATTTGTTTATGTTTATGGTCCATAGGCCTACCGGTATTTTTCTAGTAATCGTGAGTTATACTCAACAGATTTTTACGCCACACTACATTATTTTTACGAACTTCCCATCCCACGCAGGTATTCAATCCAGAAAACAGCTGTTTGCCACCGGCTTATTGAGCGGAGCGAGCGAAGCTCTTTGGGATCAACTTCAATGCAACAAATAGAGAAACATCACTCAATAACGGCTGAACGCATATCAGCCAAACTTAACAAAATTACTTAGACTAATAGTGAGATGGTTTTTAAACAAACAAATTTCAATTAGATAATGCTATTGCAATTTAAAACGAACTTAAAATTTCCAATATTTAACATTAGGCTTATGGGACTAAAGTAGCCATGAAAGTTTTTTTGTTTACAATAAAAATGTAAACAAGAGAATCATAAGGTATTTCTGAACTTTCTAGACTTTTCTTTTAAACGTTTTTAAACCATTTCTATGATTTTAATAAACAAGATAATGTTGTTAAAACATTTTTTTAAGGCGTGGAATTCACTGAAAATTGAGAAAATTTACGAAACTACTTTCTCAATGCGCGGAGCATAAACAAGGAGCGGATGGATACGGACCGGTGACTACTTTCTTGGGAACCTATTTGTGTTGCCAGCTGATTAGAAACAGCCAATGTTAGAAATCAGGATTTAATACGCGATATATCGAACCGCATCGAAATCGATATTTAATCCGATAATACCGAATACCTCACAGGTTATATTATGTTGAGTTACATCGACAGTGCAGTAAGTTATTACACTTATTAATAAAACCCATGGCCCCCACATTTAATTGTGGGCCCTGTTACCACAATCTGGCTCGGGCCCCCCTACCAACCGGGGGGCGTGGGGGGTATGGAATACCCCCCAGCCTAGAGGGGGGTCCGGGGGTCCTCCGACGGGAAAATTTTGAAAACGTCATGTATTTTAGTGAGTTTTAAAGGCACTAGGTATTAAATTTGTGAGTGGTAAATGGCACTCTTGCAGTATTTTTTAATGAAGAAAAGAGTTCTTCAATGAGTTTTAAGACTTGAAATTACAGGAATTCAGCAATTAAAACTATTATATCAATACACAAAAGCTCCATGCCTATTAATATTTAGTCTTTTTTATTTCCCCGTAAAAGGGTTTGGCTATCTTAACTGCTATAATTGTACTTTGTAATATGGAGTAGGACAAACACTTTCGTAAATCAAGTTTAACAGCTTACACCAATGAAATCATATTTTATTCAGTGAACAATACTACATTTTTTGGGAGTGGATGCCTGAGCTGCCGAACTTGCGCGATTACGATTAGTCTCGGAGAAAAACGAATGTGCACGAGTAACGCCGAGAATGACCGATGCTGTCGATGCCGATGCTATCCAATCCATGCTGTAGTACAGTATTATACCGAGCGAATTGGGAAGAAAACTTAGGTCAAAATTATTACAATCTTTCATATTTTTTAAACTCCAAAAGCAAAAAATTTTTAAGTTTGTGTCAAATAACAAAGGTAGCTGGCTGTTCTACTGTTTTATAGTACATTACATTACATACATATGCACCTACCAGTATAGTATTTAAATATAAACTAGCCTAGAATCTAGAATTAATACATTTTAAATTATTTAACTTTGTTTTTTGTAAAATATATATATTATTTTTTGTCTTCAATTTACGATCTGCTGTAAAGTAATCTTCGATGAAAAAAAACGGGTAGACCCGGGCCCCCTGAGGGCCCGGGCCCTGTGACCAGAGTTGCACCAGCCCCACCCTTGTGGGGGCCATGATAAAACCATATAAAACGCAGATTGAACACTGATCTAATTTAGGCATATGGGGAAAGTAGGTCGGGGTTTATGAGTATTTGTGACTACATTAAGTGTTTTGAAGTAAGGTTAGATTAGGAAGGTAAAGTGTAGGTTATAGATAGGTGATCGGGTTGTTTATTTGTGTTGCACCATATAATTTTTATCTTTTGGAATAGTTGGTTAAACGGGGAAACGATTTAAAACATGTTTGCATATGGTCTTAACAAATCATCTACAGTATTATAGCATTGACTTTATATAAATACAATGATTCTAGCAAATTACTACATAAAAAACAAATGAAAAGAACATTTGGATTTGGAACTTTGACCATAGCAAAACTAACATATAATTTATGAAATGTGAAAAGTTGTATATCATTAAATACTATTCTGTAATATTAATAATTGTTCGGCAAATCCTCATTTTAATGGCTCGGCTGAAAATGGAATCTGCATTTTGTGAAACAGTAATTTGGTAACAATTCAGTTGTTATTTGATTGCCAAGCCTCGGACTATACCTACATACTCGTCCAGTTACAACCGTAATAAGTAAATAATTAATTACCTGGGCTTATTAGAAGTACACTTTTAACCACGGTATGGATAATTGTCTAGGCCTGTCCAGAAGTAGGCTACTAATTTCTAATTATATTATCTACTTTGCATGGCATGTCTCCCCTTATTATTATTCTGTTTTTCACTTAAATCAGCTGAATGCGATGTTTACTTAAAATTACTTATGTTTAGGCCTACATTTCAGCCATCTTATTTTAGTGTTCAATAAGTATTGTTTTGCAGTTTTTTACGTGTTTACACATTGAAATACATGATTGATAATTCAGTTCAATTGAGTCTTTTAAAGGTGTTTTACATTTGAGTCTTACATTAAAATAGCCCTGAGTGAAAATTTAAAAACGTACGTTTTCAGGAAAAGCACTTTGCAAATTTTTCCCCTTTTTTCAAAACTTTTATTATTTTTTTTATTTAATTCCCATTTGAAGTTTCATAAAATGTCCATGGTAACGCAATATCTTTGGTAGTTTTTTTTAAAAAGAGCATCTTTTGTGGAAAAATACAAAATCCTGTCACGACCATAACAGACGTTTAAATGAATATTAAAAATAGTTAATATTATTTTTATTGAGCGGAGCGAGCGAAGCTCTTTGGGATCAACTTCAATGCAACAAATAGAGAAACATCACTCAATAACGGCTGAACGCATATCAGCCAAACTTAACAAAATTACTTAGACTAATAGTGAGATGGTTTTTAAACAAACAAATTTCAATTAGATAATGCTATTGCAATTTAAAACGAACTTAAAATTTCCAATATTTAACATTAGGCTTATGGGACTAAAGTAGCCATGAAAGTTTTTTTGTTTACAATAAAAATGTAAACAAGAGAATCATAAGGTATTTCTGAACTTTCTAGACTTTTCTTTTAAACGTTTTTAAACCATTTCTATGATTTTAATAAACAAGATAATGTTGTTAAAACATTTTTTTAAGGCGTGGAATTCACTGAAAATTGAGAAAATTTACGAAACTACTTTCTCAATGCGCGGAGCATAAACAAGGAGCGGATAGATACGGACCGGTGACTACTTTCTTGGGAACCTATTTGTGTTGCCAGCTGATTAGAAACAGCCAATGTTAGAAATCAGGATTTAATACGCGATATATCGAACCGCATCGAAATCGATATTTAATCCGATAATACCGAATACCTCACAGGTTATATTATGTTGAGTTACATCGACAGTGCAGTAAGTTATTACACTTATTAATAAACCATATAAAACGCAGATTGAACACTGATCTAATTTAGG